ATTAAATGTGGGAATGATATATGAGTCTCTACTATATAAATATTTCTCTCACTCCTCCACTCTATTCTTGCCAGCAAATTCCTGCCTTGTTTTCCTGAAAAAAAAAAAAAAGGCCATCAATCCTTAGTTCCCACACCTATTCTCCTTTAGGTCCTGTTCCCAATGACTTTTTAAAAATGCCATCCCTTTTCAAGTTAAAGAACCAAAGAACTCTCCACCTGTCTCCTCAATTTTTGTTTTTGCACAGCTCACTCGCTCACTGTATCACTCCCCAGCCATCTTCTACAGCTCCCTTTCCCCTGTCGAAATCTCTACATCTTGCATATTTCATGTTTACCCATTTTGAAAATGTCTTTTTTCTTATTAAATTGATTGGGGTAACATTAATTAATAACATTATATAACTTTTAGGTGTACATCTTTATAATACGAAATCTATATACTCTATGTGTGCTCACCACCCCAAGCCTAGTCTCCTTCCATCACGATGTATCTGGTCCCCTTTACCCTCCTTGTTCTCCCCCACTCCCATCCCCTCTGTGGTCACCATTCTGTTGTCTATGAATTCCATTGTTTGTTTATGTGTATGTTTGTTTTTGTTTTATATTCCACTTATCAGTGAAATCATATGGTTCTTGTCCTTTTCCATTTGACTTATTTCACTTAACATCATACTCTCAAGATCCATCCATGTTGTCACAAATGGTAATATTTTAGCTTCTTGTGGCTGAGTAGTATTCCATTTACCATATTTTCTTTATCCAATCATTCATCGAAGAATATTTAGGTTGTTTCCATGTCTTGGCTATTGTGAATAATGTTGCAATGAACATGCTTTCCTAATTATAGCCATGATTCTATCCTTTTCCATTCCAAATTTCTTAAACTAGCAACACACAATTATGGACTCATTTCTACAACTCCCCAATGGCCTGAAATCCAGTATTACTTCTGTTCACTCCCTTCCACCTACATGTGCCATCCCTACCAAAAAAAAAAAGGGGGAGCCTAATTCCTTCTCTTGGAAAATTAAAGATTTTTTTCACAATCCTCAGGGTTGACCCTTAAGCACAATGAGGCAGTGAACACCGCCCCTTTTTTTTCTGACACTGTACTTGACTGATACTTTTATTTCCTATCTCCCACCACTCATTCCTACTTCTCCTTCCTTCCCCAGCCACAAACTAGGGAAATTCTCCAAAGCTATCTTTCATCCTCTATCTAAAGCAGTAGAATATTATCATTATAGTTTCTCATTATTTTAATCATTGCTCATGTGCTGGTGATTCACATCTGAGTCTCCATTCTGTCTTCTTGAGGAATTCTAGCCTGGATCTCTAGCTGCCTCGGGGACATTTTGATTTGCACAACCAAACTTCACCCCAAAATCAATATGGCCAAAGCCAAATTCATCATTTATAAAAAAGAAGTCTTCCACCTCAACCTCTCTAGCAGTTTCATTCTACTTGCTCTTTGCAAAAAGAAAATAAATTGAAGACATTTAAGAACATAAGGTATAAAAGAAAATAAGAAAGACTGCCTCCTAATCTTCTTATTGTCACTTCTTGTATACTATATGTCATCTTTATACTTTTAGTCCCTTCATATTCTTTTTGATTCTGTTTTTTAATTTAAATAAATGTCAATATTTCCCTCACCTTTTCAAAAATGTTATCCTAATTTTCTAAATAGTACAATCCAACCTCATGAGTCTAACCCTTATGATTCTCCTGAAATTAGTTCTACCCTTCTTGGCCAAACTCATCACACTCAAGCTTTCTGCCCTGTGCCTACTCTCAACTCAAAAACTTTCATCATATTGTTTTCCCTAGAGGAAATGACCTTCCCTATGCATTTATTTTATTTATATCTACTTTTCTTGGGATCCATATTAGGTTTAAACTATAAGGCATACTCAAGCTCTCCTAGCCCAGTAAGATATTCCTCTTATCTATATTTCTATAGTAAATATCAACTGTTCACTATAGTAGCTTGTCACTTGCTACTTTATGGGACATATAATTATTCCACAGGAATCTATTTTGTCTTTTCACTTGTGTTGTAAGGTCCTTCGAAAGCTTCAGCCACATGTTATGGACATGAGAAAAATTCAATACACACTTTTGAATTAAGATTAGTTTCCACCCATGTACCTATATACTAGTACTATAAGAATAAAGTTATTGGAACACAGAATTTCCTGTCCAAATTTCAAAAAAAATAAAAGTAGAAACAAATTCATACTTATGTATTATTAAATGGTGAGAGCAAAAGTGGTAACATATTATAAATTAAATTATTCACAAAATTAAAAATATTTTCTTTATATTGTGTGATTTTTCACTTTTTCTAATGAAATAAGGCAAAGTTGTAATTAAATTGCTGAAACGTTGGATAGTAGAAAGATTGTTCTCTTACTTTTTCTCACTTAGAGCTCACCTACCATTGATGGATTATTCTTAATGTCAAGTAAATGAATATATATATATATATATATATATATATATTCCTCTGAACAAATCCTATTTAGTTTTTTATATATACTTTTTATTAAACAAGACCACACAAATGGGTAGGAAAGAAAACATTTTGTCAGCCTTACGCTTGAACACTCATGCTAAAATATTTTTGCCAAGAAGAAATAGACTAAACATACATCAAGCCAAATGGAGATGCTTATTTTAGTGACTAGAGGTACTTCTTATGATTTAAGACATTAGACCATAATTGAGAATAATGATTTAAGACATTAGACCATAATTGAGAATAAAAAGAGTGTAAAACTGCTTTATGTTTGTGACAATCACTGTTCAGACTATATAGTCTTAAGTTTTATTTCAAAATTTTAAACTAACTTTACAAAACATTTTTTAGGGTAAACTCACTTTTATTGCTTTATTTTTTTTTTACTAGTGAAATAAAAAATTAATTGCGATTTTTTACTTGGTCATCTTTGTTTTAGCATTGCCCATCCCAAAGTTCAAGCACAAAAATGCATTTCTTTGATACATACAGCATTGCCATTACTCCTTCATCTGGTCAGAATTTTTCAAAAAGGACTAGTGTCTATTAAACACTACTGTTTCTTTGGAGGCAGGAATGGTTTTTTGGGTGTGGCATGGGAGTGGGTTGGGACAGTGGTAACCTTTATTTATTCATTTGGTACATTTCTGAGCACTTTCCATGTTCAAGGAACTATGCTAGATGTTGAAGATACAGCAGTGAAAGAAACACAGTCCTTATCCTCATCAGATTTGCATTAAAATGAGTTGGAGCACATCAAGCAGGTAATTACACAATAATTTAATCATACCTCTAGTAGGAGTAAATTATCTCCTGTTAAACAAAAAATACTCTGCAGCAGTAAAAGACACAAAGGGTGGCCCTGACGGGTGTGATTCTGTTAGTTGGGTGTTGTCCCATGCACCAAAAAGTTGCTGGTTCGATTCCTGTTCAGGACACAAGCCCAGGTTTCAGACTAGGTCCCTGGTAGGGGGCATGCAGGAGGCAGCTGATGGATGCTTCTCTCACCCATCAGTCTTTCTCTCCCTCTTCCTTCCTCTGAATCTAAAAATCAATAAAAATGTTATTTTTTTAATAAAAGGGAATATATTATATGAGTCCATCTACATAAAGTTCGTAAACAAGTAAAACTTACATATGAGATACTAGTAAGTCAGAATGGTAGCTACGGTTGTGGTGGGTAATGCATGAGAAAAGGCACATGGACCCCTCCTAGGATGGTGGAACTGTTTCTTCACTGGGGCAGTAGTTACAGGAATGTGTTCACTTTGTGAAATCTTATTGAATTACTAGAAGCCCGATGCATGAAATTTGTGCAAGAGTAGGCCTTCCTTCCCTGGTACCAGCTTCCCTCTGGCACCCAGGACCCAGGCTTCCCTCACAGCCTTGGCTTCATCCGGAAGGACGTCCGGAAGGATGTCTGGTCTAATTAGCATATTATGCTTTTATTAATATAGATATGCTTATGATTTATGTACTTTTTTGCATGTAGGCTATATGTTAAAACCCTGAACTACTATTTCTTTTTAGCTTCTTTTCCTTGAACAGCCAACAAATAGACAAATGTTCTAAGGTAGTGGTTCTCAACCTTCTGGCCCTTTAAATACAGTTCCTCATGTTGTGACCCAACCATAAAATTATTTTCGTTGCTACTTCATAACTGTAATGTTGCTACTGTTATGAATTGTAATGTAAATATCTGATATGCAGGATGGTCTTAAGCGACCCCTGTGAAAGGGTCGTTCGACCTCCAAAGGGGTCGCGACCCACAGGTTGAGAACCGCTATTCTAAGGGGGAAAGAAGAAGAGGATGTGTTTCCTTCCCCTTTGAGATCTTGGCCCATCAAATCTCAGTATGAGGATGAGCCTGCTGCAGCAGCTAGAGACAGTGGCAGAAATCACAGTTCATTGGTTTGCTTGCTTGCTTAGGACCACATGAGATAAAATACACTAAATTCTTTTTTTAAAATATATTTTTATTGACTTCTGAGAGGAAGGCAGAGAGAGAGAGAGAGAGAGAGAGAGAGAGAGAGAGAGAGATCAATGATGCAAATCATTGATTGGCTGCCTCCTGCACACCCCCTACTGGGGATCGAACCCACAACCCAGGCACATGCCCTTGACTGGAATCAAACCCAGGACCCTTCAGTCCACAGGCCGACGTTCTATCCACTGAGCCAAACCAGCTGGGGCAAAATACACTAAATTCTTAGCACAGAGCCGGGGACATTGATATTTGTGAGATTAAGTTGACTTGGTAATTTATCACCCAAACAGGACATTTTTTGAGAGTCAAAGAGACTATTCTTCATAAACACGCTGGAGCACAAAAATACATTAAAATTTTCCCAGGCAAGCTGTAGAGTATGGTCAATGTAGAGCTAAATAAATGTTGACATGTATAATTATTATGCCTGAGCTAGTCTTGCCATTAGCAAGTATATTAATAGGCAATATTTTTGAAAAATTATAAAAGTGGGGCAATAATATATTTGAGTGAAGCAATTATAAGTCAGTAACAAAATATTATCCTGTGAACAATGCAGGACTGCTCTTGCACTTGAAAGAAGAATGTTCTTAGTAAGAGAGCCCCACGAGACCGTAGTACCAATTGGGAGAGGGCTCTGGATGCTCACATTTTTCCTATTTCTGTAGGCCAAGTTTGAGAACTGAATTCACAAGACCAGAAATCATAGCTCCCTCATTTCTTTCATAGAACATAATCTGTATTACTTACCATATTTCTTCATATTAAGTACTTCCGTGCATAATATATATCTTATTTATAAATGGGAAGCCCGGTAGTTCAAGTAGCATGGCTTTACACATGCATATTGTTATACATTCCATTGCACATTACAGAGAAACGCCCGGCATCCCATTAGCTGCGATTTAGCACATTTAACACAAGTTCTCATGTTTACGCCTAACTGCAACCGCATCTTTTCTTGCTGGCACCAAGATCCGCTGGGTGGGCCTGAGACTGGGTGGCCGAGTGTGGCAAAATAGCAAGTGACTGGAAAAGAAGACAAAGGCAAGTTTGGGTCCCACATGTTGTGCTCATTTCCTGTGTACTATTGGAGAGACTTGGGCTTCGTCCCCCTGATGTCTACAAACATGGTTTTTCCTTGGTATTCTAAGATGACATCACAAACCAACAACAGGAAACTTCTGGGTTTTTTTCCCAAATGAAGGAAGAGGTTTCTGTGCTTCATGCCACTCTCTCCTTAGTTTACTGCTTTTGTGTAAAGTTGTCCTTTCTACAAGAATCTTCTGTGTTAAGTCAGAAGTAGAGATCATTGGACAAGGTCATTGTTGTCTGGTGTTCCTTCTCTGATCTTCCATGATGTCTGGTAGCTAAAGACATTCAGAAAGTTCCAATCTCCTAGAGAGTCTACGCAAATACAGCATTTCATTTTCTATATTTTGCCAAGTTCTGTTCTCCCACGTTCAATGTCTAAGAAGATTTGGTGTGAAAAATAGCAGATGAACTCACCATTCCTTCCCCACCTTTCTTGCAGCTTGTTTACTTCTCAGTTTGTAAACCTCTTGAGGGAAATATGTGGAACATTTTTTTTCCATTTATAATACCCCTGCTTAGCCCTGTGGGTACATATTTATTGACTGAAATATGTACCCACAGAAATAAATGGACAAGAAATCAGCAGCCCCAGACGGATGGCCAGCCCAGATCATGAGTTAGGTCTGTGAGCACACAGCACATCCTTGTCATGTGTCTCATCTCTGGAGCCTCATTAATACACAGACTTTCCAAAGCTGGACAAAGGGCCGACTTGGAGGAGATGGTAGCCTAAAATGTCCCTGGCTCCGCGTCCTCCCCACTACTTCTGAAGGAACCTAATAAACAAAGAGCATCTGGAAGAGTCCAGAAGGGAAGGGTGAGCATGGACAGGTTGTGGCATTAGGATAAAGAGCCCTTCTCCCTGTTGCTGGTCCCTAGACTTTAACCTTCCCTTCTTAGAGCCTGCTAAAAATAGCATATGCATGTGAAGTTTTTATTGCATAATAAAACCTCTGTATTCTACACCCAAATGTACAACTGCAGAACAGGTACTTTATTTCTCTATAACTGAGAAATAGAATCTGACCTATAATCTGATCACTCATGACACCCTCTCTGGTGGGTTACAGAGGGAAAAAACTCTACTTCAGCCCAATCATATAACTTTATTTGAAGCAGTAGGCTGAATAGGATCTTGATATAAATACCTGGTTTTTCGGGTCCTCTTCTCTAAGATGGTTTCTGACGCCATGAGATAAGGACATGACTGACAGCACCCTAGGACAGAAAGGATAGACTCTTTGAATCCACATGTGTCCTCTGTGTCCCCCTGGGCCCTGCATCTGAATGGCTGCCCAAACAGCCCCCACCTAAGCCTGCTGCTGTCTTCTAGGCCCCGTCCTTGGGCATCTTCCTGTGGCTGGGGCCTGTGATGGTAGAATTTAGGGCCTGTCTCTCCCAGCTCGCTCTGTCTGTTATGCACACTAGCTGATCTGACTTCACTTCTCCTCACAGTCATGCTGAAGGTGTCTTCGAGTCTCTCCCATATCCTCTGGCCTGAAGCCCTTAGGCCTTCCAACCTCATCACAGAAAGCCTCCTGATCCCACTCTTATATAAACAGTTAGGTCTGCACTTATCTCCTGTTTACCTATCAACCAAAAGTTTAAAGTTTCTAATAAGAAAAACTCTCACCTGCCCCACTGAAACCAGTATGTCTTACTTTACTTTCTCTCTCCCACAACTCATGTTTTGACATTAAGACAAAAGCATGTCATATACACCAATCGACTTCTTCCCAGCCTTTCTGGGGAAGCTTTTCTAAAATCAGCTTTCTAGGAAATAAGCCTTTTAAATTTCCTTTCAACCATTGAGTTTCTAATAATAACCACTGAGTGATTTTTTTTTTCAATTCAAGAAGATTACTGATCTAGTGTGTACTAAGGACTCTTACTCTTCTTGATACATTCATGAATTCATGAACTTAACCCTTCCACAGCTTTCTTCCTTATCCCTTGAAGTAGTTCAAAATAAGACAAGAGAGAATAAGTTTAGGGCAAGGCATCTTGTGTTACCTACTCATGATAAATACTAAAAAAATGTTCAAACCTCATGCACATATTCTCGGAGGTCCATTGGAAACTTATCTGCCTTTTGATTTTAAAGTCTTGGCTGAAAAAATATACAGTTAAAGGAAAACAAATCATTTCCTTTTCCAGGGCCTAAAACACTTGTACAATGTGTAATCTGTTTTAAGGTAAGACTTAACTGGAATATAAAATTTCCCTTTCCAACAATCACATACCTGTGATATCAGATATGACCACAGCATTTCTTCTTGGATCAATATCAGCCAGAGGGCCCTGAAGCCATGCTTGCTGAGACCTAAGCCTACTTGGACATTGGCTGGACATCTCCAGGGGTTAGTTGATCACCAAAATGCCAGACTCCCCATGTCTTCCTCAAGACTTTCAGGCTCATGCACTATCTGTAGAGATTTCTGGTGGAAAGGGTATTGGAGATCAAAATATCAACTTCAATGATGATATTATTATCATAAAAGTGGAGAGATAGAGGTCTGGATTCAAGGCCCAAAGAGCTTCCTCCACCTTCCTTCTTGAAATAAATAAATCCCCAGGTCATGGGCAGACCAGTCATAAGGGAAAAAGGGATTTGTCTAATGAGAGCTCCACTTGAAAGAGAGAAAAGTGGGCAGAATCTCAGACTGGACATCTATACTAATAAAAGGGTAATATGCTAATAAGACTGGGAGACCTTCCAAGAGACCTTCCAGATGTCCTTCTGGACAAAGCCATGGTGGTGGGGTCAAGGCAGAGGTGATTAGGGATGATCAGGCCAGGAGGGGAGGGCAGTTGGGGGTGATCAGGCTGGTGGGGGCGGTGCAGTTGGGGGTGAGCAGGCTGGCGGCGGGGGCATTTGGGGGCAATCAGGCAGGCAGGCAGGTGAACAGTTAGGAGCCAGTGGTCCCGGATTGTGAGAGGGATGTCCGAGGAGTCCCAGATTGCAGAGGGTGCAGGCCGGGCTGAGGGACAACCCCCCCACACACACACACAAGAATTCTATGCACCAGGCCACTAGTCTCCAATAAAGCTGATGGCCATTCATGCCTATGTCAGTTTCCTAGGGCTGCTATAACAAACTACTACAGGTTAGGTGGCTTAAAACAACAAAAATTTATTCTCTTACTGTTCTGGAATCTAGACATCTGAAATCAGGTATTGGCAGGGCCATGCTTCTTCCTGGACCTCTCAGGGAGAATCCTTCCTTACCTTCTTTGGCTTCTGGTAGCCCAGGAGTTCCTTAGTTTAAGGCTAATAACTCCAATTTCTGTCTCCATCTTCACATGGGCTGTTTTCCCTCTGTCTCTCTCAGTCTGCTCCACTTCTTATAAGGACACTAGTTGTATTGGATTTGGGCCCACACTAACAACCTCATCTTACCCTGATTATGTCTGCAAAGACCCTATTTCCAAATAAGGTCACATTCACAGGTACTGGAGGTTAGGACTTCATCATATCTTTTATGCAAACACAATTCAACCCACAACAATGTCTATGACCTTTAGCACATTTATCTCACAGAATTTTGCCTTCCAGTGAGTCAGATAAAGTGTGCTCCCCATGGGAGGGTTCAGTGAGGGGAAAAAGAAGAACAAAAAAGTTCAAAAAGACATTTTCTTAGGTTATGGACAAGAGTCAAAGGAAGCAAGAATAGAAAAGAAACATGGCTTATTTTACAATTCCAGTGGCTGAATAGGGACTTGATGAATAGTCCCTACTGTTTCAATAGCACCTATGTGCTCATCTAATTATGGATACAAATCATGTAATGTGCTGAAACTAAATTTGCATGTTTTCATCATTTATAAAATTAGGTTGACCGGAATGAAATAACTGATTTATGATTAAATGTTAAACATATAAAAAAGAGATCAAAAAAAGAAAACTCAAAACAGTAGCTATCAAATTGATCAAGATTTAAAAAAAATCCATAGTAAGCTTTGTTAGGGAGGATATGGATAAAGAGGCCCTCTTTTACATCATTTGTGAGAATGGAAATTGCAACTTGTGGACATTTATTGAAAAATACATATTGAGCACTTTATAAAGTCTTTTCTGTTGATTCTGAAATCCCTCTTCCAAGGATTTATCTTGAGGAAAATCTAGTCCATTGTGTACCAAGTTTTAGTGGTAAGAATTTTCATCACAATATTGTTACTAAATAGACTTAAAAGTACATAATAATATAGTTACTAAAAATAAGACATGTAGAACAAGCAAACTGTAGCTCACAGATTAAATTTGACCCACTGTCTGTTTTGTAAATAAAGTTTTATTAGGACACAATCGCACTCATTTATTTATACATTGTGAATAGCTACATTCTAAGAGTTGAGTAGTTGGGACAAAGATAGTATTCCCTGCAAGTCATAAAGTACTTACTATCTAGCCTTTTACAAAAACAGTTTGTTGATCCCTGCTAAAGAAAATAAATGCGTATTATATGGATGACATTGCCAATTATGTTTTTAAAAAGGAAAATTACAAAATAATGTGCTCAGTATGAGTCTATGGTTTTAAATGTGGATGCATTTTCTTAAATATGTATGTGTAAGGGTGTATATAAGTCAAACATTCTCAGAGAAAAAAATATATTTTGAGTTTCTTTTTCTATTTTTTAAATTTCCTATCTTTTCCAGAATGTCTGCAATAAATATCTGTGCACTAGAAACATCTGCCAAATCAACTCCAGAAAAAGTGTCAAGAAAGATCCACATCTGGCAGAGTAGCATCAAAGTGGAGTTTAGTTTTTATTTTAGCAACTGATCTGACTTAAGGTATGGTGGGTGATTCTGAAGGAATGGAGCTCTACCTAATTTTGGTGAAAATTTTTATGTGTTGTTTTTAGACATGTGTCATATAACTCTCACAATCTAAATAGAAAATAGCCGATTTGGCTCAGTGATTATAATAAGACCCCTAAAATCATAATTAATCTGTCCATCAAAATCAACTACAATCTCATCAAGATGGTTCTTTATTCTTTATTGAACTGTTATTTCTTTAACACCAAAGAAGAGAAAAAGCAGCACCCACTTCTGACTTGTGTGTGAGGCAGGTCCCCTGAAAATGTGGTGAGTGAGGCATGAGATGGTAAGTGAGGCATGAAATGTTAATCCCAAATTCTTCAGTTGTTTTCTATCATATTTACAGTAATAAACTCTGTTTTGTCTATGTTGAGGTTTGATTTCTCTCCTAGAAAATATTTCATTAAAACAGTATGTGTTCATGGTTTCCTTTCATCTCTTTTGAAATCTCCTCCCATCACCAAGTTGCCAAGAAGCCTTTCCAGATAAGAATGCAAAGGGGATCTGAAAATAATATAAAACCAGACCAAATTCTTATGGACTAAAAAGCCTAGGAATGCATCAATTACATAGATTGTGTGTTCCTGTTACACACAATTAAACTGACTGTCAGTGCCAGCTGTCTTTACATCAAAGGGGATATTCTGAGCTCTGCTAAGAACTAGCTATGTAACTATTTAACATTGTTATTTCACTCTCTCAATGTCCACTCATTATATGTAACATTCAGGTTTCTTTTAGAAAAAAGTAAAATGGTCAAGTCAACGTTGTTTCTCTGATTTATTTATTAATACTCATATTAATGCTCAAATGTAGTAAACAACATACAAAACTATTTTTAAACCAATCCTTAATAGAAATTGAAAACAAAAAGGATCCAAACAGAACATGAGTACAAATAAGACAACGATGTGTGTTATTTGGACTAAAGCTGATTCTGCAGGAAATCAAAACATCCAGCTGATTTAATTGAAGAAAAGAGAGACTCAGTCCATCCAGATGTCTGGCATCATAAACACCAAACACAGGGATGACTGATTGAATCTTTGACATGATTCACCAGATGTTTCAGCCTCTTGGAGACAGACTAAAAGGAAAGGATTCGGAAAGGTTTCAAATTCCTTTATTTCACCCCGGGTATTCAGTGTGAATCGTCCTTGTTTCCGCTTTAGTTACCTTCTCCAGCTAATCCCTGACCCCTCTGGTAACATTATCTCATATTTTCTTTCAGACTGAATCTTGGAGTATTTGGATAAAGTCACCAATTGAGAACCAAGTGGTAATGTATGAACAATTTCATTTCCTTTCCCCCCAAATATATGGCGTCATGTGGCCTTTTTTTCTGGGAAGACCACAGTGCACGCAAGATCCCAGGAACAGAGGCACTGAAGATGCCTATACACATAAAATCTAACAAGATCAGTTGAAATGATAGATCCAGGAGGCATATTCTGAAATGGTATTATTAGCTTGATTGCTCTGCGGTTCGAACAGTCACTGTTCAGATTGCCTATAATCAGCTTACCCTGTATTAAGCCACTAATGAGTTGATAGTGAGATAAGCTCTTTCTCAAAGGAAATAAATTAAAGACTGACAATTACTGAAACAAAGAGAGAATACAAGTGGGTTCCTTCATTATGCTTCCCCTGAGGATCTCGGGTTTGCCTGAATTCTGAATTGTGAGAACCCAACTCTTGTTCTCAAGCAAACTAAACGGCAGAGATAATCCTGAGCATGAGCAAAAAAGGTTCTATCATGGGTGGGGTATAATTTAAAAGAAAAATAGATGACTCCAGTCTAGCTCCACCTCTTGCCTGAATTTCCCATCCCTTCAAATGACATGATAATATTCATCTTGTACCTCTGGGTACAGCTTCATGTGTACTATCTCAGGTGCTTGGCTTAATCATTTTTAAGGAAATGCATTATTATGCCCATTTTTCTTCAAAAAACTAGAGGGCTTTGCTAAGGACACATTGAACAATGATCCAAAACCCAGATATTCTAACTCCCAGGCTTATGAAGTACCACAGTTTCCTCTGAAAATAAGTTAAAAAATAAATATTGAGACCACTGGGTTCAGAAAGATACAAGGCAAAATGCACACCAAAGAATTTTATTTGTCAGGTTAGTCTGTGGATACCTTGAACTTCAAAAGGGGTGAGAAACAAGACAAGTCCAATCTCATGTATTTGAAGATAGACTGCACAGAGCCAAACTTTCTAATCACTATTCAAATATTCTGGAAAAGAATTTAAACCGTTCTGTCTAAAAAGCAATATAACTAAAAGAAAAGTCTATCGTGTCTCTTCTATCTCTGAATTTTTAAGTATTATTACTATTCTTCCACATTCCAGTGTAACTTCTATTCTTAGAGGCCATGTCATCTGGAGCTGTCTTTTGATATCCAAAATCATATTGAATGACAGTGTAAGCAGCCTGAGGCTCTATTCTGTCCAAGAAGGTCCCAAATCTACCATTGTCCTGCTGATTTCATCTGCTTTCCCTGTCAACACCTTTCTGTATCCTCAGCCAACACCAAAACTCCCAATTTCGTCACCCATAATCAACTCATCTCAATAGTTATCAACATCACTGAAGCTTTGAGAAGAAAATCATGGTCCTCTGATGAGCACTTTTATTTCCTAACATCATTCCTTTTTAGCAACTGTTGTTTTTCCACTGCTGAGCTGTTAATAATTTGACTTGGGAAGCACTGGTTTTGTTCAGGATACAGGAGAGAGAGGAAAATCTAGGTCAGAGATTTTATTGTGGTTTTGTAGGAAAGATGAGGCAGGACAGAATAAACACTTGGGATTTGCTAGTTTGAATAATTCCAGTAAGCTTTGGGGCATAGTTGTCTAGTACCTGGCCCTGGGTTCACTTAAAGCAGGTTAACTTAACTTAGTGTGTAAGAGTTTGATCAAAGAGATGGGGGGCGGGGCTTTAGATCGGTTAGTTTACATAGGAAAGGTGTATTCCCTGGTGAGTCCTTCGTTGTCTCTAAAAACTGGGTAGCCTTGGGAGGGGCTGACTCCCCAGTCATTTAGGCCACCAAAGCCAGAGCACCAAAAATACAGGAAGGGAGGAAATAGAGTTAAGACAAATGGCCGTGTGAATGGATGTCAAGTAGACAGAGAGTTTAAGAAAAAACACAACATGGTGCCTCCCTATCATTCTAAACCACAGATAGCTCCTGCTAGAGAAGTCCACCCTTGACCCTCAGTCAATTAAATGATGGAAGAAGGGAGAGTTTTATCCAGTAAGTCATTCCAACTTCTCCTTCCCCACAGATGGACTTAGCCTCTGGTCTTTACCTCACCTTGACTTTCACTTTCACCTTCCTGGTTATCTGCTCAAACAGGCATTGGTGTCATTTGATAAGAGCCATTGAAATGTAGTAGCTGGACTTCTGGTTCAAGTAGCAGGAATGAA